GAAGGTTCTCATTTTTAGTTTAGGAAACAATTATCAATTTTAAGTGACAAATTAATCATTAAATTTTAAAAATAATACATTTATAACATCACGGTTATCAATACTAACTACATTATAATATATACCTATTAGAATTATTTCTCAAAATATGCTCGAAGTACTTTAATTATTTAATTATTTCCTAAATAATCGTGTCGTTTTGCTATGAGAACCTTCCAACGGGATGGAGGGAGTACTAAACTCTCCAAAGTGAACTCAGTACGACAGTTCTAGCTCTTGAGATAAGAAAATCCGAGAAATTTTTATGAGTTGAATTAAGACATCTCCATTCATTGGATTATTTGAGAATTAAGTTGATAATGTGGTGGATTTTTTTTGGTATCATGATTGAGTGATGAAAATTATTTGGTGAGATTATTTGACAAAATAATCCTAGATTGAAATATGAGTCCAGATTATTTCTAGATTATTGTGCCGTTATTATTAATTGGTGAGTGTGGAACCTACAAAAGATCTGATTATTTTGAGATGATGAATGGTGTAATTTAGGAAGTGTGAGATTATTTTGAAAAAATCTACGTGTCAATCTACGTGTCATTAAAAATCCGTTTATTTAAGTAGCATGGATGTGGATGTTCTTACCGGACAAAAATGATGTGTGAAATTTTGGAAACGTATTTTTACCAAGTGCTTGTGGTTGAGGATGGGTAATAAGTGAGACTTATCCCCTATTTAAGACTATGGTGACAGGGACTTGTGTTATAATTTATGAATTAATTAATTCTTTTGGTCTTTTGCTATAAATCAAACCCCACCCCTCACTCAATAAAATAGAATCTATACATCGATATATTGGAAAGTGCAAAAATTATCCTACCCCCAGATTAAAAACGCTGAGATGAAACCGCCAATAATCTTCCAGCCTACACAAAGGAATGTAAAACTACATAGAAGCTTAAATTAGTCTCAGAAAGGTGGAAAATTGAAAATGACACCGACAGAACATTTAATGAAATCAAGTAAATTCCATATTGATCACAGCCTTTGGAGGACAAAGGGAGTATTTCTTTTCAGTTTAATTTGCTAGAGGCTTACTTCTCAGACTGCTACTCATCTGTATAAGAATCCTTGAGTGTTTTAAAAAAGAAAACTTGTAAAAGGTGAACGGGTCTTGCCAAAGTCTAAAATTTATTTTTAGAAGCGATGATGTCTTTTACTATCATATCATTCTTCACATTCCATGTGTTTTTCTTTTATGTTTATCACTTAATGGTAGATTCTTTGGCACACTGGTTTGAAAATCAACCGTGTCAATGCATACTTTACCTTCTAAATGTGTTGTCTTAGAGTTTGAAGTGGGGGGTGACCATGCATGTAGGGGGGGGGGGGGTGACAATACATGTTAGTCAGGAGAAAATAGAAGATGAGGAGAACTTAACAAGCACACAAGAGGAATTTAATTTTAAGGTTTACTTAAGAATCAAGTATTTGGTGCACTTCTATAAAATGTGAGGTAACATATAGAGAGTGGTAGAATAAACTTCCAGAAATAAGAATGTTCTTGTTTTAGGAAAATGTAATTTTGGGAATTTGTCATGAAGCTTTTAGAACTCCGCAATCAACTTGAGAAGATCAAAACAGCTTATAAGCTACTGCAAGATTATTTCGTTTGAAACATCACGGGCAAGAGCAATTAATGAGTACAGAAATAAACTAATATGGAGTTACGGAGCATAAACTAATTACAGTTAAGCATATCCAACAGTATGATCCATAATATACTCAACTGGCACTAACTTCACATTAATAGTGCTTAATAAATGTGTGATTATTGAATAATAACCTGCTGCTTTAGGATTTGAGTAGGGTTAGAGTGAAATCATTTTGGTATAAATGATAGCAAATTGGTATAGGTGATATAAACATAGCTCCAACAAAATTGTGTTTACTGAGATTAGTAGTTTTAGGCACTAAATTGAGTTTTATGAATTTTGTTAAACCACTAAATTGAGTTATATGAGTACTATTAAGTTGTTTTTGAGGACTAAACTGTTTTCTACCTTCTCATGACAAGCCCATGTAATTCTACTCGGATTTCAAATGGTGACACACAATGGTACACCACGGTATAAGATGGGCCAAATCTGCTTTGTTAGAGTAATGCCCCAAATGACAATAGTCTCTACTGTTTAACTAATGTATGTTCCCTTGGAGATTTAACAGAAATTTAATGAGCATTTAACAGAGATTACTTATAGTAAATATAAAAAATGTAAATGCAACAAAACAGTGTCTATCTTATGTGAATGTGCATTAGATATTTCTTTTAAAAGCATGAAACAAAAGGACTGTACTTAATTTATTTATTTTGCTCACTGAGACCTTCCAGTCTGATTCACCCACCAAATGGTTAATCATAAGGTGGATTAACACTGGGGCAAAAAAATTGTCTTATGTCATCTATAATCCCCTGAGAAAATGTTAGTGTGTTGGATTGCCAATTTTCAAGGAGTAGGTGCTTTTGAAGGAAGAAAAGTGGTTTTACTTTTAAAAAATATTTTCAAGGAAAATGGAAAAGTGCTTTTACTTTAATCAATACAGACAATTTTCAAGATAAGTGGTTTTACTTGAAAAAGTGGTTTTTCAAAGGAGTATTGTTTAAAACAAAACTATATTTATTGCTTCTTTATGAAAATAGAAGATTAGTTCTTAAAAATACTGCATTGAAATGTAAAATCACTTGGATTAAAATGACTGATACCATAAGTTATCTCAATCCTGCACTTATTATGGGAATTTAGCAGTTTTTAGCAAAATTCAGAAAATGAAAAGACTATGAAGGCAATCAAGGAAAACGGACTAACATCAAGCAAGGTAAAAAACTGATCTATCATCTATAGCAGTCCTATTGTGAAGTCCAAATATGGATATTCCATCCAAAGGCAGTGTATGGATCTGTTTTGTTCAGAATATTAAAAAGAACATGTTGAAATGCAACATATATTGCAGGGAGAAACTAAGTAGGAAAAACTGAAAAGTGTGACCAACAAAAGCTTGTTTGAAATAAGCTTAATCTTATGTTTGGTTCATGGAAAATAGTAGGGAAAGGGAGGAAACATGCTAAAAAGTTAGTTTTTGGAAATTCTAGATATTTAAATCAAGGCAAAGTGTGTTGTACTCAACAAACCAACTACACAGTACTTCAGACACGGACACAAGGACAAGTACAAAAATTTAGTAGTTAAGGAATTCAAAGCACAAGTGAAAGAAAGGTAGTACAAACTCAAACATGGACAGAAGACATACCGGGAAAGTGAGTGCAGGTGACGAAAATCCTCTGCCAATTGAATAAGATGCATTTATAGGGCCATGGGAGGGAAGGATCGAGGTTGGGCGCGCCAATTGGAATTCCATAACCCACACTGCAGAGGAGAGGATCGATTTGAAGTTACAAGGAGAGATTTATCGTTTCATAAATGCGAGATTAATGAATACTCACATGCGAGGAAGGCGAAGGGATGAGCTACGTAAACCTGCACGACCGAAGAGCGCGAATCGAGATGGAGCAAGAGAAGGAACCTGCGTGTGCGGCTCAGCGTATGCGGCTAAAGTTGGGCCGGTGGGAATCACAAACGGAAGGGTAATAACGGAGGTAGCGGAGTCAGCACACTGTACGGGAGATATAAGGCAGACTAATTGCAAAATTTACCAACATTTAAGCATAATGTACATGTCAACACAGCTCATAGGATTACCAACAAAAAATTTATATATACTCAATACAGGTCAACCTTCATTCACCTTTATTAGTTTGTAGAAATATTGGTGCTTCTACTTAAGAACACTTTTTTAGTCCTATTTTAGAATTTCTTCATAATTAACATCCACCAATCACCGATCTACTTAAGTGACATAAATTGTGATTACTATCCTGTATATATAAGTAATATGTAGTAGGAAGTATATATTATTTTAAAATAATTGGTTCATTGTGTAAGTACGTCACGCTTCATTATTCAAGAGTGCTGCACAACCACATAAAGTGTCACACACCATCTAGACTAGCTCTGGAACTCTACTTATGAATAGTTATAGATTAAAAGCTCATACAATGTAGATTGAATGTAGTGTTCAAAGTTACATTTTCCCTTTGAACCTACCAATAAGACTCTTAATAATAATACATTAATACTCCGTATGTTGTGTTTCCCATGAACATATTACTTACTATTCACGGCCACTAAAATCACTCAATTGTCTAAATTAGCCTTACACGATCATTTAAGACTTGGCTAAAGGGTCAAATAGGTACATGAACTAATTTAAAGTGTTCAATTAGCCCCTTGTTTAGGAGGTTCTGTCCGGCAGTAGCCAATTGGGGTGGTTCCTGATGAAATTGTTTGATGAATTTTTTTGAGCATCTTCTTCATTAAGTCTAGTTTACCCATATCAAATTTCAGCTAAAAAATAAATCGGGAAGGCAGTCAAATGATTTTCCGAAATGTACTGCGCTGTTTAACTGCGTAGTTATATTCAAAAAATCATTTGACTGTCTTCCCGGTTGAAGTTTTAGCTGAAATTTGGTATGGATAAACTAGACTTAACGACGAAGATGCTCGAAAAATTGCATTAAAAAATTTCACCGGGAACCACCCCCATTGGCGACGGCCGAGCAGAACCTCCTATATAAGGGGCTAATTGAACACTTTAAGTTAGTTCATGTACCTATTTGACCCTTTAGCCTTCCAGACTTTTAACCGATCAATGTTAAAAGGCGGCACAAATCAGCTACAAGCACCGAGCACTTAGGTTGAGTTACTTCGCAGGATTTGTACACCACAGCTGCATTTGAACTTTCATTCCGATTTCTTACTAAATTGCATTGCGGATCAACCAGAATACCCAGGGCCGGCCTAAAGGGAGAGTGGGCAGCCCAAACGCACAGGGCCCGAAAAGTCCGAGGGCCCAAAAAATTAGTATTAGTATTACCGGTAGTCTAGTGCTCTGTATTAGTTTGCCCAATTAGTTAGCCCAATAACAAAATTAAAACAGAGTGAAGGAGGGCTGAAGGCGTGAATTGAAGCTGCGAAGGGGAGAGGCGAACTGCGAATCGACGAAGTGCGAAGGCCGAAGGGGCAAAAGGAGTAGCAGCGGTGCATCCTACGGCGGTGCGTGAACTCCGCTCCAGCCTCCAGTTCTTCACGTCTTGAGTTCTTGTCTTCTTCAGTTGTATTTTTTCACTTCTGCAAATCTCCAATCGGCGACTCCTCTAGACCACTACTCCAGTCTCCAGGTAAATCTTTCACTTCTCATCAACTAATAAGTAATAAAATGATAATTTATTAATGTTTTATCTCATATTCTTTTGCATTTTTAATTTGGATCATTTGTTAATTAACTAATTAGTTATCTGTAAATACTACTTATATGATTGAGGCCAGCGTGGCCATATGATTAATTATTAAGTCTGGATAATTTGTGATTGAGTTTACCGAGCAATCAAATTCATATTATTTGGTTATTCTGTTGTTAATTTTCTTTAACAAATTGATATAATTATATTATTGGATTGTTGCTTTTGCAATTGTTTACACTATAATACATTCATACATTTTATTGAAAGAAATTTAGTTTTTAGGGTTTACAGTTTATACACCTTAAATACGCTGGAAGAATGTCTGATTATAAATGAAGTGCATTCTGTAGACTAATACTCTTATTTTGACTATTTTGTTAATCAATATATTATATTTTGATATTAATTATTTGTAATTTATCACTATTATCATCTTTACTTGTATTGAATTTGTACTTGTTAGAAAAAAGGTCCATTTTTTTAATTTTGCACCGGGCCTTCATATTCTCAGGACTGGCTCTGAGAATACCATATTACATACATATTTATGCACTAATTATTTATTCACATTTGATCTATAAATATGTGCATCTGAGCCAATCCAAGTATTTACACCGATTTCCTATAGTGAAAAAGACAGAGAGGCTAGTATATGATTAGAGAAAGGAGTAGAAACACGGAAGAAGGTGTAGGTATTTGATAAGATGTCACTACCTCTAACCCTAGGGGCTAGGGATGGTGTTATTGACTCTCAATTACTTTGCCAATACTCCATGCCTCGACTTGCTGGATTGCCGGAAGAATTTAGCTTCTTCAGTTCTCCCTCGTTTTCGAAAGTTCTAACAGTAGCTAAAGTGGATATGAGCAAATATGACTGAACTCCGCACATGTACTTCGCAGGTATTGTCATCCTCTTTCGTATTCCAATTTCCAATTATTCTTTCCATTTTGCCGCACTCCACTCTCGGAAACCATCGGAGTTCAAACGCCCAGAGATGTCTCCTTCGTTAATTTCACTTTCTTCATATATACCATTCATGATTACAGCTTATTGAGCGATGTTAAATCCTCCTTCTTTCTGGATAGTACAAGCTAAAGGATTGATGATAAGTTTCTTAACATTTTATTCGGGCATTCCTTGGAGGAAGAGGAGTATAATTAGGTTACTAATTTCAGAAAATTAATTGACACTATAAAATCTATATCATAGACCAAAATTATTTGTGATTAATGTGGAAGATTGACCTTGTAAAAGCAACATGCATGTGATGTAACATAAGCAATGTTTTAGTCAGTCATTGAATATTGAGTGGATAAATTTGTTTGGAAGATAATAGGTGTGTAGTGTAAAAAAAGTGGAGTAAGAGTGCTTGAAAAGGACTGTGTGCAGGGGAATATGGATGATGATGAAGAGTTTTGGAAAATAGTTAGTTGTTGAAGATGATGACTGCTAAACGAAGAGCAGGGGTGTTAGGGTTCCAGAGTAAAGAATGAGCGATTTGCTGCTACATGCTAAAAATAAGTAAAACCTAGGGGACTTTTGTTGAGATCTAAACTTCTTAAGGGTCTGTTTGGGTGGATGGGTTTGGAGGACCTGGACCTATCTTGATATATATTTGGCATTTTATTGATATCAAAGGTTTACCATAATATGTCATCATCTGACATTTTTATGTAATATTTTCTCTTTTTTTAGGAATGTGTTACGGAGTATTTATCAAGATAGTGACTAAACCATCCATTGCCTTCGCCAGTCCCCTCCAATCCAAACTGACCCTAGTTGCCTTAAATTTGTTTCAATTGTAGCTTGGATTGTAATGCAACAAAGCTCTCCGTCTACACTTGGGATTAGGGGTTACTAGTTACTATGTCGGGAAACAAAGTTGGACCAAACTAAAGACAAGAAATGAAGAAAAACATGCAAAGAACTTACCAAATACACCCCCTCTTGATTAGCAGTGTTTGCATGTTATCATTTGTTGATACATGCACCATCTTGATACGTTCATACTCATGATGCATCATATCATATAGACTGGCACCATAAGTTAGTAAACGTCATTGGCTTTCATTTCCAGAACAGTATTCAAGAAGCAAATTAATTGCATGAATTGTCATGTTACAACACCCAGTTTTCTTCTTAAAAATAACAATGTTGGGCACTTGGGCTCACTTGCACGTTTCTACTGCAGTTTTCTTCAAATGCATCAAAATGGCGGAACTTTATATCTTCAGATTTTAAGGAATGGCCCACCAATTTGATTCGTAATCCTCTTCCTTTTTATCTGCTGAGGCTCTGTTAGTATAGTAATCAAATGTTGTTTGGACAAGATTCAATTTTGAATCTATGCAAAGATTCATTCAATTTTTTAAATTAATTGTGGTCGGGGTTGATAATGTCTCACTGTTTTCGTGCACTTTCTTATTTTTTTTGTTCTTATATTTCGTCTTAATTTGTTACATTTCACAACCTTAAGATTTTCTAGCAGTTTCAAATTAAGTTTGTCTAAAGCATGATTTCCTCTATTATTACTTGTTTTTGCTAGGATGGCTGCTCTGGTGAGCTTTATTGGTTATTCATGGACGAAGAACTCTTATGTGGAAGAAAACCTCTCCTTGGGACAATGATTTGATATGAACCCATCACCCTCATCTACTCTAACATCATCAACAATTCAAGGAAACCCCAAATCCAACCTCTTAAAAAAATGCATTGCGCTCTTGCTCTCATGCGCCTCATCCACCCACAAGCTCCGGCAAGTTCATGCCTTCTCCATGCGGCGTGGTATTCTTCTCTCCTGCCCAGATATGGGAAGGTACTTGATCTTCACTCTCGTTTCCCTCTCAGGACCCATGTCTTACGCCCAAAAAATCTTCAATGAAATCCAATACCCAAACATTTTCACGTGGAACACAATGATTAGGGGGTATGCTGAGAGCGAGGATCCGGGCCCCGCAATCCAAATTCATACCCAGATGTGTGTGAACTCCATTGCGCCTGACACACACACATACCCTTTTCTCCTCAAGGCCATCGCTAAGCTGATGGCTGTCAGGGATGGGGAAAAGATGCATTCCATTGCGATTAGGAATGGGTTGGAGTCGTTGGTCTTTGTTCGGAATGCCTTGGTGCATTTCTATGGTGTCTGTGGTCAGGCCGAGAGTGCACACCAACTGTTTGAGACAATGACCGACAAGAATCTCGTGGCTTGGAATGCTGTGATCAACGGGTATGCTCTTAATAGCAGGCCAAACGAGACTTTAGCTCTTTACAGGAAAATGGAGTCGGAGGATGTTCAGCCTGATGGGTTCACTTTGGTGAGCTTGCTCACTGCTTCCGCTGAACTGGGGGCTTTGGCTTTGGGTAGGAGGGCTCACATGTATATGGTTAAAATGGGATTAGATAGGAATTTGCATGCCGCTAATGCCCTTCTAGATCTTTATTCCAAATGTGGAAACATAAGGGAAGCAAAACAGGTCTTCCATGAGTTAGAAGTGAAGAATGTTGTTTCCTGGACTTCCTTGATTGTTGGGTTAGCTGTCAATGGATTTGGTAAGACAGCCCTTGAGCTTTTCAAGAAGATGGAAACGGAAGGATTCGCTCCAACCGAAATCACATTTGTCGGCGTGCTTTACGCTTGTAGCCATTGTGGACTGGTAGATGAGGGATTCTCCTACTTCGAGAGGATGCAACAGGAGTTTCGAATCAAGCCGAAAATAGAACATTTCGGTTGCATGGTTGACCTATTGGGAAGAGCTGGTTTGGTTAAGAGAGCGTACGAGTACATTAAAAACATGCCTTTGGAACCGAATGCTGTCATTTGGAGAACTCTCCTAGGCGCCTCCTCAATACAAGGGAATTTTGAACTAGGAGAAGTTGCACGAAACCAACTCAAGCGATTGGACCCCACACATTCCGGTGACTATGTTCTCCTCTCAAATCTGTACGCATCAGGTAGAAGGTGGTCGGATGTTCACATGGTGAGGGAGACGATGCTTCAAGAAGGGGTCAAGAAATTGCCGGGCCACAGTCTGGTTGAGTTAGGTAACCGTGTGTACGAATTCGTTATGGGAGACATGACACATCCCCAAACGCATTCTATATATGCAAAGCTTGCGGAAATGACCAAAGCCTTGAGGGTGGAAGGGTACGTCCCACACACATCGAATGTGCTTGCTGACATTGAGGAAGAGGAGAAGGAGACTGCACTCTCTTATCACAGTGAGAAGATTGCAGTTGCGTTTGCTTTGATCAGTACGCCACCCGGGGCCCCCATAAGAATCATGAAGAACTTAAGGGTGTGTGCGGATTGTCATCTTGCCTTTAAGATTGTTTCCAAAATTTACAGACGAGAGATTGTTGTTAGAGACCGTAGTCGCTTTCATCACTTCTCAGACGGGATTTGTTCTTGTAGAGATTATTGGTAAGCTTTGATTTGATCTTCTCCAGTTTTTAGAAAGAATGACGTAGAGTGACATAATTTAAGTGTCACTTACTGTTTTAGTGACACATCACACATGTGAAATGTGACATGAAATCGGAAATGGTGACACTAAATTTACTGTCACTGACAAAATGTCACTCTAGTATCACAAAACAGAACGATACAATAACATTGTTAGTCTTTATGAGTTATGACACCCGATTATCATAATTTTTTTAAAAAGTGTGATACATTAACATCATAGATTGTTAAATGAATATAATTTATATATTGATATTGTTGTCATTGATTTAATTAAATGTATATACTACATACAGTTTGAGAATATAAAAAATAAGGCACTGTTTTCATTCACAATCTAATTTTCTAATACAATGATGAAATGGTTTAACACGATTCCATTCTTCTTCCATCTGACTAATTGTTTTTTCCAACATCCAATAGAAAACAGGAAACGGGATAAAACCTAAACATATTAGATGACTATTTTAACTTGAGCTGTGAGCAAGTATAATGCAGACGCACAGTTGCCCCTTCAAGAGCGCAACCAGATGAGAATCATTCAAAGTAGCACCAACATGCAACTATACCAAATGGAAAATCATTATCAATGAAACTTTTTTTTGACTACCGGAAGCCATAATATTAAAAGAAATTGCCCTAAATAGGAATAAAAATGTTTGTGAATTTCAAAATAGGACTTTCATGTTTCTATTTCTTGGTCCAAAAGGTGGAATCTCCCATTCAGGAACCCCCCATACTCTGACGGTCTGACCCGACAGGATTTTTGGGAGGATGTTAATCACGGTTAGGGGTGGACTCGGGCCGGGCCAACCGGCCCAGAACCGGACCGGCCCGCTACTGTGCGGGCTCGGACCGGCCCGGTGAACCGATTCCGGGCCCGGTTCGGGCCAATCGGCCCGGTGGGATGGCGGTTCGGGCTCAGGCTCTTCAAAAGGTGAATCGGCCCGGCCGGTTCGGGCCCGGGCCGGGCCATTTTTTTTTTATTTTGTTTTTAAGTTTTTGGGTTGGGCTGGGTATTTTGGGCCATTTGAGGTGGTTAGGGTTGGTTTGGGGGTGAGGGGGAGGGTTGGGGGTTAACAAGGAAAAGCCAAAAAAAAAAAAATTAGAACCGAGGCCCGGCCCGGCCCGGACCCGGGGGTTAGCCGGGCCGGTTCCGGGCCTCCTCTTCCTGAACCGAGGCCCGAACCGGAACCGGTCCATGCCTAATCACGGTGACTCAGTCGGCCCAATGATGGTAGGCCTGTTTCCCGTGTGCATCAGAGGCCCAGCCTTATTTCAAGTTATGTGACCTCCATTCGGCCGCTGCGGGTTTCGAACCTTGGTCACTTGGTCCAAATTTCCCACCACTGAACCAACTGAGCTACCCGTGCGTGTATGTTTCTATTTCTTAAATATGAGCAGTTATTGCCATATTTCAGCATTATCAGACCTTAAACGTGACATTCTTTTACAAGTTTAGAGATCCATTTTGAAATTTCAAAACGTTTTTACTCCTATTTTAGAAATTTTCTCCAATATTAATAATACAAATGCATGCTAAAACACAAGCATGCTCTAGTCATAACATGATTAGAAGATGCAGTATATCAAACAAAGTAAAAGGTGAATAGTCAAAGACTCCAAGTTCTTTTGCTATCAATGAATCAAAATACTTGAATTGTGGGTTTCATACATAGAGTGGCTTAAGTAGTAATGTTTGATCATATTGTACGTGTGAGATACCATCATCAGGAGAAGTCCTCAAATAGAAGCAAAAGACATCCATTTTCCAAAAATAGGACCAAGTAGTTTGGACTTTCATAAATAGAGTTTTTTATTTGTGATTGGAGTTGTTGCCAGGTCGCCCGACTACCAGAAACTATTTCCAGAATTGCTCTCATGATCTGCCAAAAAGCCGCCATCGGAGTTTGCTGCCGCTATGACAGTCTAATCCGCCACCAACGAGCAGACCTAAGTTATGCAAGAGAACTAAGGGGACCATTAATTAGGTTAATTAATTCATAAAATTAGGGGTAGAAATAGAACGATTAGTCATATTTAAAGAAAATCAAACATAAGATCCTATTTTTGGAAGAACTAGATTTTCACCCGCGCGATGCGCGGGATATTAAAATGTAATAGTGATACGACAATATTTTTAAATGTTATTTGGTTGTGTGAAATGAACGCAAATTGTCATATACGTAACATGCATAATAAATTATTATTATTAAGGATCGGATAGTGAAAACTCAGAGATAGATAGCAAGTATGTTTTGGAATAAGTAGAAAAAGCTAATCATTATATAGGGTTTCACAATCTACACATTGCAATCATAACTCGTAGACACAATAATCGAGAATCGAGTTGTTGAATCAATTCGTAGGTCAGAATTTGTAAGTGTAACACGCAACCTACATAATATACATCACAAAGCAATCCAATATGTAACAGTGTAGTACTGAGAATTCATAGATAGATAGCAAATATGTTTTGAAATTAGTAGAAAAAGCTCAACGTTATGTAGGGTTTCACAATCTACACATTGCGAAAAACTTCCTTATAAACTACATTGGTGGTGTGGTCAGTTGGTTGGTCATCTTCACCGCAGATCAATATCTTCAATCCCTTAGGATTTGTTACTCTTGACACTGCAACATACAGTTGACCATGCGTGAAGACCGACTTCTTCAATAAAAGACCAACGTGAGACAAAGATTGTCCCTCACTCTTATTTATAGTCATCGCATAAGAGGTCATTACTGGAAATTGTCTTCTTTGAAACTTGAACGGTATTCTTGAATCTGAAGGAGTTAAGCTTAACCTCGGAATGACAACCTCATGCCCGGCATATTTTCCGCCCATAATTTTTGCCCCTAGGATGTGGTTTCCAAGTCGTGTAACAATTAACCTTGTTCCATTGCAAAGCCCCATCGAAGGATCAATATTTCTTAAAAGCATTATTGGAGTACCAACCTTTAGGGTTAACTCATGGTTTGAAACTCCAGATGCACGTATTTTGTTGAGAAATTCTGGAGTATGCATCAGCCAGAAAATCAGCATTCGAGTCTGACATGCAAATGTTATCTGAACTTAAATATGTCCTTGACTCTTCATTAATATTCAAAGAAGTCATGTATTCATTGATTGCATCGACAACATCAAGAGTTGGAGCCAGAATTGCACGCTCTTGCAAGTAAGTCGGGTCATTCACAATATTCTCAAAGTTTGGGTAGGTGCTCTGGACAATAGTGGCAATGGGGTCGCTTCCACACTCTAACAAAAACTCATTTGGGATTTTTACATTGGCAAAGCCATCATTATCTTCCCCCGCAGTCTCGTCCCCTAAACTCGCAATTCACTTTGCAAACTCAACCAAATCTTCATATTCACGACCATCAGTCAATGATTGCAACCTCATGTTCTTCGTCAAACGTAATACCAAACATTCATGCCAAATATACGAAGAATTAATCGTGGCATTCACAATGTCTTGTCTAGTACCTTTTGCAATAACTGGTAAAATTTGTCTGAAGTCTCCCCCGAATACCACTGTTTTCCCTCCGAAGGGTTTTTCAGCACTATTTAAATTACTGAATCTCAAGATATCCCGCAAACTTCTATCTAAAGCTTCGAAGCAATACTTGTGCATCATCGGCGCCTCATCCCATATGATCAGTTTGCACCGAATTATCAATTGTGCTAATGGACTACCTTGCTTGATGTTGCATGTGGAGTTTTCATTCGGGTTGATTGGTATTGCAAAACGTGAATGAGCCGTCCTACCACCCGGTAACAATAAAGCTGCTATGCCACTCGAAGCAACATTTAAAATAAGTTCTCCTTTGGACCTCAAAGCAGCTGACAACATCTTCCACACAAACGTTTTCCCCGTACCTCCATAACCATATACAAAGAACACCCCACCATTATTTTATTCAATAGATTGAATAATGGTTGTGTACACGTGACGTTGTTCATCATTGAGACTTTGCATGCATCTGTCATGCTCTTCACGTAGGGCAGCACGATCGTACTGCAATTCGTCAAAAATAAGTCTGTTCTGATATAATGCAGCATCACTTATCGTGGGGAATGACATTCATGGATAGTCCTTTAAAGTTCTACCAATTCTCCTAACATCATTTCTATTTCAGTCAATGCATAATTCTTAATTTCAGCCTCGGTCAACTTCAAATCTCATATAACATGTATGAGAAGAGTAATATCAAATAACATGTGTAATATATAATGAATGGTTTTGAAAATATAAATACATATGTGTGTATAGGTATCTGTGTGTGTAATATATCAACGATTTAGTACCTGCATGCATTAAAGCTCTTCTTTGCCTGTGTAGAATGTCATTTGACATAAATGTCCAACACTTGTCCCACACATATTCTGGTCTACCCATTGTATCTGCTGCCAATAAAATCACAAACAACTTTCTAAGTAACCATGCAGTAGCCCAATAACTACCTTCTGAAAATCCTTCAACGTACTCCTTGTCATCGTCCAACAACCCTAAGGCGAAACATGCCTCGCGATATGTATTATGAATAATTCCATCCACAGTTCTAAGATCATCATAGCTTGTAGCCCCACGTCTCAAATTAAGGACACATCGCAAATAATAAGATTCTCCTGATCCCGGCGGCACATACGTTAGACGACCTAATGCAAACCCCTTTTTCCGAGGCACGAATTCTCTTGTTGCCGGTTTCCAGACAAACTTTTGAGGGAACTCGGCATAAGTTAAATCCCTTGCCTCGGGGTACTCTGCATTTTCTCTCATCCATGCAAGAAACATACTCTCCTTAACAGATTCACGCAAGACAACGTCACTCACCGTTGCACCATCTTCAAAATAAACATACTGTTCATTATGGAAGTGAAAGCTGAAACGTTCAACACTTGGATTCTTATATTGAATTTCAAATCCAAAAATTCTCCACATTGCCTCACATGGAGAGATATACCGACAATCATAGTACAATTTTATTTCATCAACAGGTTTCTCAGTGTCATCTTTACCTGTTGTTTCATAAAATCCCGCTGTGACACGATCATGTCCCTTGTTCACGTATTTGAATAAATATTTTATTGACCTCGATTGATTGCACCACTCTACATTAAGATGAGCACCATACCTCATCAATAACGACCTGTTGTGGGGAACAACGTATCTATTGTCAAGTGACACACCACTTCTGACAATTGTTCTTCCATCATTCCGCCTCCTATATTTAGGATAACCTTCTTCATCAACGTTAGTTTGCTCGTTGAAGTTCTTTGGGA